CCCGTCCCGCCCGGGCCTTGCTCCCCCGCCCGGGCCCCCTCGGGCCGTTCTTCCTTCCCCGCGCTCTCGGCTGGGTGTCTCGGATTGGGAGCATCGTCCGTGGGACCGAGCGGGTGGAGGACCAGCGCGGAGGAAACAACAGGTCTCTCCGTTCTCGCCTTCTGAAGCCACAGCAGCGCCTTGCTCTTGGGATTATAAATGTTTGAACTAAGATCCAGGAAACTGGAAGGAGAGCCTCCCGTAGGAATTAACAGAAGAGAAAAAAGGGGAGGCTTTTCCAAATCCTTCCCAAGAAAGCTCGTGCTGTTTCCCCGTGCTGTCCGTACTCTGTTTAATAATGCGATTGTGACCTGAGCTGAATTCGTGAGCGATGAACTGTTGAGGCTGTTGCACCGCTGCATCGGACTACGGTTTTGTTTTTTTCCTCGGCACATGATTCCTCCATCCCAGCTGTTGCAGGACCTATGGGCCAGTAAGAGAGGGATGGGAAGCTGAGACAGTTTATTTTCACATTCTTCTGTTCCGGGGACTTGGCAAGTTACCTGAAGCTGCTGCTTTTTACTGGATCTGCTCTTCCCCCGGCAGGTTTATTTGTTTTCATGTGCACGGGGTGTTTCCATTAAATAGACATTGGGCTGGAGCTGGATGGATGCTTTGCAATCCAGAAGGGTTTGGGGGATAACAGAAAACTGCTAAAACAGAGAAGAACTGGTACTGCAGGAAGCCTGGGGCCTGTCTTCCAAGCCTTTTTGTTTTATTGAGCAAGGTAAATAACGCAGTGGTGAAAACACACGGCTTGTCATAGTCATGCAGGAAAGTGTTACAAAGCACTTCAGACTGTTCCAAGTCCTTCAAGGGTCTGGAGGACCCACAGTTAGAATAAGTTTAATTGGTCTTTAAAACATTCAGATATGAGTATGAAATTTAAGGCTGAGAACAAACTTAGTGGTACCTGAGAGGCTGAGAACTATTTTTTGTGACTTGCTTTAGGTTCCTGTAGGTTTGGGATGTTGAGAGAGGCTGTCTGAAGAACTTTAGAAGCCTTAGTGGTTCAGTGAGAGTGTGCAGTCATTCTATTAGTGGGTTTTTCCATGCTTCTTTAGAACTTGATGCCTTAGCTCTGGTAAGGATCTGTTAAGGTCTCTTAAATGCCCTTCCAGTTTACCAGTAGGGCTTACATTTGCATTAACTGCATTCATGCTGTGCCTTTAGTTATTTTTGCTTCCCTTTACTTTTGTTGTCCACGTTGACAGCTGCTGCTATTTGATAATGAATTATGGTTATCTCCTGCATTGGAGTCTTGGTATTTACCACTCATTTACATGCATCACTTTTACCATAAACTTTCTACAGCCAAAGTATTCAAAGTACTGTTTTAGATACGGTCTGTATACATTTGAAGCATTGGAAGAAGCAGATAATGATTCTGAAAATGTGCAGTGTGATCAGTTGCTGGGGTAAGTGTGTATTTTTTTGGGGCAGGCTGCATGCCTTGCCTTTGTTTTTTTAACGATCTCAGTAGCAGTTTACTCTTCACAGAAATATAAATTAAATCAGGGTTTGAAATGCAGCTGTAAAAATCTGGTTTTGCAAGAAGTCACGAGATTCTCATTATGAAGTGATGCCTTGATTACACTGTGTTCTCTCACAGTCTTAATGAAATAGTGGCAAACACTGAGGTGTTGGCAACCTTCACTGATGCTATCGTGGGGAAAAGCTAAGTGGGTATTGTGGGCAGTGCTCAAAGTTCCTGTTTAGATTTGTTTGACTTCAATTTATGGTCTTTGTTTTGTCTCCTTTTGTTTCAAGATGATGTGTGAGGTGATGCCAACCATCAGTGAGGCCGAGATTCCCGCTGGGGGAAATGGAGGCCATGGTTCAGGTTCCCCATTACAGTCAGATGCTGATTCCCACTTTGAGCAGTTAATGGTGTCCATGTTGGAAGAAAGGGATCGTCTGCTGGAAACACTCAGAGAGACTCAGGAGACACTAGCCTTGACCCAGGGCAAGCTGCATGAAGTTGGTCATGAGAGAGATTCCTTGCAGAGACAGCTCAATACTGCACTTCCACAGGTATGGACATCTTGGGAGGAAGGTATCTTTCAATGCTTCTTGCATTCTTTGTGGTATTTTGTTGGCTTTTTGTATTTTTAATGAAGAGTCAAGTTATGTTGGGGAAGATACATTTGGCTTAGGACTTTCTTGAGGTATCTGTTGGTGATTGCTGACTTTGAAAAAGATACAAGGCAAGGCAAGCAGAGAATAGCAGCTCTTTCCCAGTTTCTGGAATATTTGGCTTAGCAGGAGTGTGAAATCATGTCTATATCCTTTTGTTTAATAGAACTTAATGGACTTTGTTTTGTCACTGGTACCTTTTGAATGTTGTTCATTCATATGCTTAAGAATTAATGCCTGGTCTGGTGGAAGGTGTCCCTGCCCGTGGCAGAGAGTTGGAACTGGATGGTCTATAAGGTCCTTGCAACCCAAACCAGTCTGTGATTCTATGAATTACACACAGACCATTCTGATACCGTTAGGGACTTGGATTCAAAAACTTGCCAAGTTGCAGACTGCTACCTTGTGAATACCTGCTGAGTTGTCATGGCAATGCAGAAGTCTGGATGTGTTGCTTAACCCATTTAGTTCCTTCTGGAAAGTTTGGATTTGGGTCTCTCTCCTTGGCCCTGCCAGGAGTTCCTCATTACTGACTCGTGGGAGGTGCAGTGTGCCAGCACATGGCCTGTAGGGCTAAGTTTGTTATGTAAGGAACTTAGGAAAGGTGATTGGAGTCTACAGAACTTGTTGGGTTTTAGCCATTCTAGTTAAAAGTAATACAACTGAACTTTGAACATGCTGAGAATCATTTGGTTTTGTAGGCAAAGCAGAGGCTGCTGTTGGTTAACTGTTGATAGCCTTGTGCTTTCTAGCATGTTGGTGGTTGTCCCATGTGTGTCACAAAACGTTACACTTGCATACCTTATTCCAAGATTGCTTGTTGTTTTTACAAATGTTTACCTATCCTTAAATATTGTCCTTAATGTTTATACCCCTTAAACCTGTAGTTTTAAACCCTCTGTTTCACTGCTCCCATTATAATGTAATCACTGGGTGACTCTTGGTATGGTAATTGGTACTGGCAGTTACTAAGGGATAGAAACTGAAAAGTTACACATGTTAATCTAGTTCTGTTACAATGGTGTGATGGAAATCAGAAAGGAGAAGTTTGCAACCTTTGCTGTTCCCTGTGTTAAGTCATGTGCTGCAGGCAAAAATCATTCTTTGTTTTTCTGTTGGAATAATTGTGGCTTCCCTTCAGCCTCTGTGTCAGGTCTGCTGCATTAATGGATGCCATTAACCAGTTGTGTGACCTGTAAACTCTTAGACTTGAATGTGTGGCTGAGTAGAATCACCCAAGCTCTAATCTGTGTTGTTCCTCTTTTTCCTTTTCAGTTCTCAGCTCTCCTTCCTAAATCTAGTAAGCTCCTTATGTGTAAACACTTCTTTCTAAACATTTCTCAGAGATTAATAAACAGTTCCCATTTTCAAGAGTGCCATAATTGCATGGCTTCATGTGAAATCTGTAGGAAAAGGAAGTCAGTCGAGGGAGAAATTTTGCTCAGTTTTATATAAACATACAGCAGTGTATGGATTTTTGTAGATTGAATTTGTTGACAACTATGTTCTATTTTTTCAGGAAAGAAGGGATAGTAGTGGACATTGTAACAAAATATTTATCATAGTTGTTTTTGATTTAGTAAATCTGTGAACATCAATTTAACTAGTTGAACAAGACCAGTATAATTGCATGAGTTACTAAATCACTATGTAACCAAAGTAGCATTTCTCCCCTAGACTTGTAGCTTGTAAGAAGTCTTTGTAGCTGATTTTAAAGTACTTTATCTTAGGAGTATTGAATTGAGTTGTTTTTATGTACACTGTTCCTGTTTTGTGTATTAAGCTGGATCAGCCAACTTCAGACCATTCTCATACTGATGGAAAGTCCTTGTATAAGAGTAGGAATGCCAGATTGATTGCCTCTATACCAACTTCTCTGCTTGTAGTATGAAGACAATTTCTGATGGCATCCTGTACTTAATTCCTGACATGCACTGTGTTTCTGTGTATAAGAAGCTCCTACTGGTTTGTATATAGTTAGTTACAAAATGGCAAACTAGTACTTGGGTATTTGAACATCTTGTGGCTTAGGAAAGTAAATGCGTTTTCTGAAGGCTCAGAGGAGCAAACTTTTCTAGTACACTTAGTGTGGTGATCACCTAGGAATTGAAGGCATCAGACTTAGCTCACATAAACCTGAGACAGCTATTTAGAGTAAGACAACTTTTATTGGGGTTGTCTAATTCACTGGGAGAAAAGTCTTTTAATCTTGGATCCATGTGCTTTATCTGTTACATTTACATGAAGCAAAACTGACTTGGAGGTGTTTTTTTTTTGTATGGACAGCTGGAAATGAAATACATCACCACTGCCTTGATAAAATAACTGGATTCTTGGCAATGCTTTTTGTTTTCTGGGAGTTACCTTCTATTACACATTACCCTAGTCAAACTGTACTCTGACCTTGGAAGATCAACTTGATGAAATCAAATTGCTGTGCAAGAACTTAATTTTATTCTTTCTAGAATTTTTCACTGAAAAAAAAAAGGAAAATAAACTTTTTACTTTGAGAGCTTACGGAACTTTTAATGTAAACACAATCAGTTATGATTCTAATTATGATCTTGGTGGATTTAATTAGGCCCTTTATTTGCCTTCTAGAGTGTATGCTACAAAATTGAAGGCTTATGTGCTTAAAATTTATAAGTTAATCTGTGAAACATACAGGATGCTAGTGGATTCCAAAGCTAAATTTTGAACTTTAAGTGTGAGTCCTCAGCAGATAATCTTTAGTTGCTTTCTATGCACAGTATTTCATCACTGCTGCACACTTCTGTTTAAGATAGTGTGTGTTAGTTTATATTTGTATTCAGTTAAATTCAGCTGTGTCTCCATAGAAGGATCTTCCTTCAAACATCTCAGAAATGCTGTTCAATACCTCACACGTAAGACACGTCAAAACACTCGATCCCAAGACTGCCCTGGTATTGTTTTGTAATGATGGACTTAAGGATTTAGTTGCCATTCTAATAATTGTGGTATTTGGATTTCCTCCCGACAAGTTTGAAGTCATACAGGATGTCATAGATGTAGAAATGAGGTTTTGAATTGTACACAATATGAAGAACACAGTTGCAGAAAGTATATTAAGCAAAGGCTTTGCCAGACTCTGCAGCAGCTGAAATTTCCTCAGCATTTGAAGTGCAGTTCACTCCATTTACAGTACTCACAGCTGTTCAGCCTTGAGGTGCCACAGTTTATGCTTCTGACTCTAACCAGAGCTGGTACTGACTTCTAACAGCAGATGTTAATCTCAGCAGAGCACTCTGTGTCCAGAAATGGTAGAGATGCAGGAGAATTTCAGATGTGCAAATGTATGGCAAAGCAGACATATCCTCCACTTCTCTCACCTTGTTCTGACAGCAGAGATGAACATGACTCCTCCCATTGCATTTTGAGATGTGTCTTTTTAGTCTTGTCGACTTTCAGTTGCTAAATCTCACTTGGCTCTTCCTGTTACTAAATTACTGAATAGTTAGGCTTTACACTATTTTAAGTCAGATGGAGATGGAGTTAGTGGTCAGAATTCTTCACCGACTCTATCAATTGTATTAATACTTAACTTCCCTAGCATTTCTTTCTTTGCAAGGTACAAAACCAGATAACTTTTGCCCAAAGCCTTCAGAACATGAAATTACCTGAAAGTCTATGATTGGACAAAAAGAGGAGTAGCTACACTTAAACAATATAAGGGAATACATTGAGGACCAAGTCTCTAGCACTGCTCCTGACTTCTTAGTTTCCATTTAAATATGCCTGGGTTTGTTTATTGGAACATCCCACCCCTACCCAGCAGACATCTGTCTGCCTATTGTTAGCAACTTGCTGTTTATATTGCTCTTTTAATTTAGGTTTTCTTGATTATAAATAGACCTTCTAGCTAGCTTAAATTTGGAATTAATTTTGTTTTCTTGTGTTTGAGGATGAATTTTAATGCTGTTATTGTGTCCCATCATAAGAGATTTTATGAAGCATGAAACTATTGATTTTATTTTCCGTAGCTTATTTGTAGGGACAATGTTGTGGTGACTACACAGAAATGCTTTTTATTTGTTTTTAATAGTGGATGAGGCCCTGAAAGATGAGCTAGTGATTATTTTTCCCTACTGTTCTGCTTCTATGTGCAAATGTCTGGCAATGTGTTTATTAATGTTTGGTGTGCTGGAGTCTAACTCAGAACTGCATAATATGCTTCACACTCTTACTTTGGAGGGTTTTGTTTAGTTTTTTGTGGTTGGTTTTTTTTTTTTTAAGTTTTTCTGCTTTAAAGGAATATGGCAGAGGTCTTCATCTAAGCTGCTTTTGGCAATTTAGACAGCTTAAGTAACTTTGAGTCTGTTAGGCTGACTGGTACCTATTGACATATATTAGAAAATACTTAGCATAATCTCTTGTGTATATACAAGCTACAAATACTGAGCAGGGATAGATTTGTGTTGTGTGTGTCAGGTAATGTGGGTGTTCAAAACTTTCCAAGTGTATTTTTTTTTTTTTGTAAGCCTCCCTGTGGATTCCCCAAGTGTCAATGTATGGCAGTTCTTGCCAGGAAAAATGTTTTCACATTCTCTGGGCTGAAAGAAGGATTAGTATTTTGCTGCTGAATGTAGTGAGGATTTTATTCAACTTGCCTTTCTCACAGAGGCACAGGGAAATAGTGTTCCCACATTTTGTAAACTCCAGATGATTGTATAGTGAGCTGAATACTTATCTGTAGGTCACTTGAGGAGATTGTTCTCCTCTTTGGGATGTTTAGAACTGGAGTAGTGTGACAGCAATATTTGTTAAAGGTAATGCCCACTTTCACTCTGATGTGTTGTTTTCCTTGAAGTTCTCTATAAGCTGATGTAAATAGATAGTGAATAGGGTTTTGCCTATGACCTTTATCTATTTCAGACTTT